AGTTGACAGGACTTCCTAATACCTCTGCTCTAGATATAATGTCCTTGCAGAGTAATCCAAATGGATAAATATCTAATGAAATATAAGGAAAACGTTGGATTTTAAAATGAGAATCACTCTGAAAACAGCAGAATTGGTGTGCTGGGACAAAGCAGATCATACACATATGTTGTTGCTGTTCCTTCCCTCCTGCTTTCTTTTCTAAAATTCCTATTGGTCCCATGAGGAGAAGGAGAATAAACCTGTTGTCAGTTTTATTGCAGAGCTGGCTGCCTAAACTGATGTCTCACTGCAACATGGTTATAAAAAGGAAAAAAAGAAAAACTGCCAAAAAGCCTTGCTGATGTAAATGATATTCCTGTTGGAAGACTCTCCAGGAAAGGGCCTCTAAAACAGGAGAAGCCTAATACATACAGCAGTATTTTCAAAACACAGACTTAAAAATTTAAAGCCCTATGGCTTTTTTTTTTCACTGCTGTAAGTTGTAAGGAGAGCTGCCAGGGCTCTATTCCGAAAAGGATGGAGAGAACAGACCAATGTAGAGCAAATCAGAGTGGTCTGCTGGTGATACAGATTAATTTAAAGTCAACCTGCAAGACAAATAATTTTCCATATTTTGCAGTGCAGCCTGACCTAAAATTTCCATTCACATGGTCGCTATAGCTTCAGGAAATTACCATTTTTAGTATCCAACATATGCTGCTCTCTTTCTTCTCTTTTTCTTTCACTAAGGGAGGCATTTTGATTATACAATTCCTCGTGTCATTCTGATGAGGCAGACTGTTGATAAAAGTTGTCCCAAGGTCTGGCATGATTGCTCAGTTGTAGGCTGTGTGTGCTCTCTCCCCAGGAAGCACTGCATCCCTTTCCAAAGCTAGACTTGTCATGTTGTATTTGAAAATGTCAATACACTTGGAAATTTCATTAAAATCTTAACGTTGTCTTGGGTTTGCATAACGAGGATGGAAATCTCATGAGAATATTTTTCCCTGTGATGCCACTTATATTTCTTCCTTATAACCAGGCAGAGAGCACTACCAATACAAAGCTCACTGAAGTCATGTACGTTAAAATGAAAAATAACCAGGGAAAGGTACTAATTTCTACATGTCCGGAGTTCAGTTTGGTTTATTTTGGGACCTGCATGCTGAGCAGTTCATTTGTTACGTTCATTCCAACTGGCCTGTCACTGATGAGATAGCAGGCTTCCCAGAAGACAGTTCAAGGGATAAGTCATGCTCTCTCAGAGCCCTTAATACCACCTGTGAGCCAGAACTGCAGCTTCAGTGCAGTACCAGCTCCTGCTTGTTCCTCATTGCCAGTGCTTCCTTCAAAGGGGATTTAATTACCAACTTTCACTGCTCTCTGCTTGAAATTTTAGAAAAGAAAAATGTGTAAGGATCCATTTGACCTCTCTTCTGAAAAGCAGTGATGTGAAATGAATATTTGTTGGACTATTGATCTGTGCTTGTTCTTAAATACACTGCAGCCCTAATAAATGCCTTTGGTCCATCCCTCAGCTGGTGTAAATTACCATGGCTCAATGAAGCTGAGCAGATTTACATCACCTGAAGACACGGTCCTTGGCGTGCTGTAGCAGCCTGCTTTTTCGGAACATGGCATTCCTGTGCCATTTACAGCACTTACAGGACATCTTACCCAAAAACCCACCCCTGGGCTGTTGAGATCAGGAAATGCTTGGTGAAGAAGGGCAAGCAGCCTTGCTTTTTGTGATGGTTTGTATCCTGCTCTGTGTGTTGCTTTGCTCAGCTACTGTGAAACAGTAGAGTGAGAGTGAGTCTTGGGGAGCCTGCACACCCCCCAGCCCTTGTGCCACGGGTCAGGCAGACTCTCTGTGCTGCCCTTGTGCCTGCTGCTTCTCACCCCTGAGCCAAGCCCACTGCCAAAGTTATGCAGTGTGCAAGTGCTCTCACTTTTATAGGCGTTTTATGACTCTTCTGTGTGGAACATATAATTTTAATGGGTGGAAATCAAATTAACTCTAAACCCCACTTGAGTAGTGCTTCTCGTGAAGACAGTGGAAATTCTGTTTGCTGCACTCCCAGCTCTCCAAACCATACTAAACTCTTGGCCTTCAGTACTCACTGTGTGTGATGGGAGTGCAGAAATTAGTTCCATTTAATTCTGCTTTGCTATTTCTCAACAGTTTGTATTTTCATAGAGTGACAAAAAACTCAACTAAAACACTGCATTACTCTGCCCTCAACACCAGCACACGTGAGCACTGATGGAGCAAGGACTTATCTCCATTTGCAAGCTGCTAACTGTGAAGTCTTGCAACGTAACAGGGATTGTGCTGGGATATAGAAATTCTAAATAAGACACAAATCAAGGCAGACTTTGAATTTTAAGAAACATTTGTCAGTTATTTGGCTGTATCCCTCTGCCTTTTGAGATAGTCAAAGGGAGTTGGGAATAATTGATCCAATATAAATCTCTGACTTCAGATACCTGCCCTTTTCCTGCATGTCTGATCTCTTCCATGCCCGCTGAATATCTCTGAGCTGTATGCATTTCTGGGTATGTTTTTACCTCTTCCAGTTTCTGTTAACTAGTTGTAATATAAGCAAAAAGTAGCAATTAAATGTTATATTGATTTACTCATGAGGTACAGCAATTGTGAGGTAACTATATGTTGGTATACACTACTTGACATCTCTATAGTGAAAAATAGATGAAGATTATAAAAGGCCATAGAACATCCTGAAGACTGTTCCTGTATCTGTTGGAAAAGCTTGTAAGGTACAGTTATTTCAATAGGAAGTTGTGTGGGAAAGAAAGGGGGTCATGCTTTGGGTCTTCAAACTTTGTTAGATTTTTATTACCACTATTTGCATCCCTCTGAGCTTTTCCTCTCTCAGTTTGCTGCCTATGTTTGAATATTCAGTTTCTTTTCAGGTGCCTTAAACAATGTGATCTTGCTGTCATTTGGGAGGGTACAGGGAGGATCCAAGGCAGTTTGGGTTTCTTTAGTTCCTATTTCAGGATGTCAATTTTTTTTTTTAGCTCTGATTTAATACTCAGCTGGAAAGCAGTGGCTCTGACATACAAACACCCCTTACAGAAAAATGAGTGAAAATTGTACATTTAGCCAAGGACAGCTTTTGGTGAGACAACAAGAACACCCCAAATCAAAGAACTGGCAGCAAGAATGACAAGGTGCTGTTATACTTTCAGTGTTGCTGGCAGTTCGCAGGTTTAAGGTTGTTTATTTTTCAAACCAAGTTTAATTTTTTGTACAGACAATGCCACCCTCCCCTGAGCAATCAAGCAGCAAGGTTTCACTTCTCCTTTCCAGTCTGGTTTAAATGGGCCAAGCCAAGCAGGCAGACCTTGGTGCAAATGTTACATCCCAGTGAGTCAGACAGCTGGAAAGGCCAGTCTGGGTTTTAAGGTCTTTCCAGAGCTAAGGACTCCTTGTTGGTAATCTTTTGGTCCTTGTCCCCTCTTCACCCTTCTTAAAAGTGTTTTTCCCTTGAAAGTTTCCATTCCTTTCACACGGATCAACCTTTGGGTCTCTGGTGTTGCAGTAAACGGCTCCCAGACAACGGCACCAGTAAGGGACACTTAGAGGTAGGTTTTGGGGATGGGATTAAGTGCCTGGTCTGGAAATCATACAGAGAGAATGAAAGTAGAATTTCATGCCATTGTTTTACAGAATTGCTTTTTTTGCCAGCACTGTGCTTTAGTTAGCACAGATAGGAATATGTGCTGACACTGCAGAGCTGAAGTTTGAATCTTTTCCAAACTCCTTTACTGACCAGGAGCCTTAAAGGTTTTTGAGAACTACAAAGGAACATCTGTGCAACAGAATTCATTGAACAGCAGTCTGCTAGAGCCTCTCCAGGGCTACCTGCACCCTGCCTGGTTTCCTGATATAGATTATTTTAGAGGGGGTTTTGGCATTCATCCGATACTGTCAGATCTTCCAGCACAGCACATCTCTTCTGATCTCAATCATTGTATTTGTTAGAGTTATTTTTCTGTACACTTCCATTATTCACAGGTTACAATTCTAAGTATATTGGATTGCAGACTCTGTGGTATCTTTTAGCCAAATTCTCTTTTATGTCACATACCTTTGACACTGGTACTGGTCCCATAAAAAGTTACCCTTATCTAAATCTCCTCTATTCCACTTTGCAGCAACAGGAGCCAGTAGAGCTTGAACTTTCTCATGTGTAAACTTGCATCTAGAGTGTGCTTGTTATCCCTTATGATTTTCAATATTTACTCTTCAAGCAGTTTATTATAAATATTTTTCAACTCTGCAGAAATTGCTTGCATTGGTATCTTGAAAGGTACTGTATGATCAAATCCCTGTCATGGGGCTGATCTGGAGATATGGGCTGTCCACGCAGATAAACAGAAGGAACCCAATCCTTTGCAGCCCTGACAAGCAAATTAGTGTAGTGCAGTCCCAGACAGCTTTGATTTAAATTCATGTCCAGTGACTAAGAACAAGGTACGAGACTTTCCCAGGGGATCACCAGCTGTGGTGGGGGCAGCAGCCTCAGAAAGCAGTAGGATGGATTCTCTGGAACCCAAGAGCACCCAAAACTGATGAAAGTCATGTTAGAGGGAATCTTCAGTCTTTTGCTTGTGCACATGAACTGCTCTGTAGTGTTGGATTGTTTGTGATTCAAGACATCCCTCTGTGTGCATGTGGGCATGTTTGTGTGTGCACATGTGTGTGTGTATCTCACTTGGGTATCGTGCTGGGTGTATGGAGTAAAATTTTCTCTTAAAAGAAAATAAGTTACTGAACTATTTCACAGGGAAGGAAGAAAGCAAGACCACAGTCTACCAAAAAAAAAAAAAAAGCCAAGATATATGTGAGTGACAAAGTCAATATATGAAGATTGTAAAGAATTTTTTTTTATTTTTTCATAAAAGTGAAATTAGCTGAAAGTGTCTCAAGGTAATACATAAAACAAGATGGCACAGCTGTCAAGCCTAAATTCTCTGCTGATTTATAGGATTGTGCTTCATAGTTATGTGAATGATCTCTGGGATGAATGTGGGAAGAATGAAGAGGGGAGACCCCACCATTTCTCTGAAGTATGTCTTTCCTACGTGGTTCCTTTCTGAAAGCATGCACCATGACCTGTGTTTTTGTGAAAGCCTGGTGAGTAGCTGGCTTTACTACTGTTTTAGAAACTAAACATTGGGGATATGATGAATTCAAACACAAATGGAAATGTAAAAGACTCAGCTTTGGCTATCTGTAGAGTAATGCTATGTCTAAATAATTTGAAGAATTGTATGTGGACTTGGATGTGAGAAACAGAAATGTGGATACATGTCTAAGCGAAAAAAAATGCTAAAATAGGTTTTGTATGGGTACAACGTGGGGAAGAGGCAAGGACAGGTTATTTTGTGTCAAGGACAATGTGAACTGTTAGCAGATTTCCTGCACTCCATGTCTAACCTGCTGGATTAGGTTAATTTTTCGTCTAATGAAGGAGGATGTACTGCTTGATGCTCTTGGGTGGGTTTCTGCAAAGAATGGGGAGAAAAACTCACCATGAGTCATTTCAAGCTGGCCTACATGCTTAGTTTCTAAAGTTCATGGGAGTCCAGCATGGGGAGAGAGTATTGTTAGGAGAAAACCTTCCACTGGAGAGAGAAATATCAGACTTCTTCCTGAGGGGCAAGAGGAGTTACTCGGTGTTGTAGCTGCTGCCTGGGTATTCATAATCTGAACCTTTCCTCAATGCACACAGAGCAAAGCACCCTTAGGGATGAATATGCTGACCCCTCGTTGACCCTCCTTTGAGTGGAAAGTCGGATTAGATGACCTCTTGTTGCCCCTTCCAACCTGAATTATTCTAAAATTCTATCTGTTTGCTCTTTTTTATTTCAGAGCTTGCAGTGGTTGTCAGCATTCTGACAAGTCACACTAATGCAATAAAAACTGGACATTTTCAAGGAAGGTTTATTGAATGGCCAGGAAGGCGCAGTTATTCAAAGGTACGAAATTGTGCTGGATATAAAAGCATCCTAATTAGAAGGAAATGTGAAAACAGAGACATAAAAAGAACAAAAAAAAAACCTCCTAAAAATCAACACATAAAAATACAATATAGAGGATGGGGACAGAAAGGAAATAACAATTTGGTAGCCACAAAGATCAGACACAGACTGTGCCTGCATATTCATGTTACTGTTAGTGAATGTTTGATGACACTTGAAAGTGGAAGAGGTTTTGAATGGGTCCAAGGAACTTCCAGAGCCTTTTGAAGCCATAGGCAGAGATAATGAGTCTCTGCATGTGTTGACTGTTAAGCTGTTTTAGTTGCAAGATAAATTAAATTTAGGAAAAAAAAAACCTTTGAGCTCCTAGAGTTAACGTTGCAGTTGAAATAATTTCTCCGTTCACTCAGATGTTGGGGGCCCACAGAGCCTTTGTGGTGGTGAAAGACCACTAAATGGTCTTCTAAGACTAAAATGGTGGTGGCAGACATGAGCCAGGATATTTGTCTCGCTGTGGGGTAACCAGCAAAGCCAGTCTTGGACACTGGAAGTTGTTTGGAGGGTTTTCTTCGCAGTGCCTTGTAGGAATGGAGGATCACTGTGTGTTCCAGTGCACCAGGCTGCTCTTTTCAGAAGCACCCAGAGTATTTCTGATGGCTTGGTTACCTAGTCCTAAAAACTGACAGGGATGCATTTTCTTGAGTCAAGCATCATTTTGGAAGACATAAATCTCGAAGGTGCTTGAGGAGGACCAGCTCCATGAGGGCAGCAAGCAACCCGTCATGCTGCCCTAGATGTGAGTTTGGAGAGACAAGTCCATGTTGTGGCTGGCTCAGTCTCTGGCCTGGGATATGGAATTCCTTGCACGTGTACAAATGATGGAATGGGAATGTTTCTCTTCATCTACAAATCCAAATTTCTCGTTAAAATTGGTCATTAGTGAAATTAGTGAAAGTATCTATTAATATATGCATTATCATTTGCGAATCTGCTGCGGGCCTACCAGTTCCAGAATCAATTTAGATGGCCATTTCTGTGTCTTTGGCTGTGTAATACACATGGCTGAGTTAATTCACATTAAGCATTAAACCCCTTGCAGTTTTTACTCTTTTTAACAAGTGTTAGCAATGCACAGAAGACTTTTTTTTTTTTTTCTTTTTTTTAATTTCAAGTTTATGGGCTAATTTTGGCTTATTCCAATTTTATATTTTAAACAATTTCCTTCTCTAACGTGTTTTCAGGGATAATCTGTTATCGAGAGCACTAATGACCTTGGATATTAAGTTCTAACTTTTATTTCCCTGAGGCTGCTTGTGGTATCAAAATGGAGGAGGTACAGGGCAATGTTGGCAGCTCTGATGCCTTTTTCCTTTCAAATGGGCTGATACCTAATGCATTTTCCTTTAGATTGTTTTGTTTTCAGTGGTGTTTCTTCTGAAAATTGCATTCCTGTCTCATCCCATGAATCATAGCTTATGTCTTCTGTGTGGGTTTTAGTATTTGTTTCCATTTCTTGAGACTCCCACATATAAGTGGATTTTGATGCATATTGTGCTAATATTGTGATTGCTGCTGGCTGTGCTGTCTCTGTATCAGGTAACCTTATTGATCTTTTTTTCACCTCAACTACCAGCAGTTTTGCTGTGCCTGACCTAATTTCAACCACTGAGGATGCTCTAAAATATTGATATGAGCAGAGAGGTTATCTTTCTTTAACCATGACAATAAAAATAAGTCTGGTATTATCCTAGGAAGATTCACATTCTGATAGTTATGTGTAACCATGTGAGCACTGCAGATGAACTGAGAAATATATTCACTCAGGTGAAGGTTCCTGGTCTTGAGGGACCCAATGTTTTCAGAGGAGACTATAAGCACTTTACGAATGCATAAGCACACACATGCATGAGTGTCTTGAGGACATCCCAGGTACAGATAGACAAATATAGATTTCAGAAGGTCAAAAAATCATTTAATTAAATCAGAAATTTCTCCAAAATAAGTATTTTTAATGAAGGTGCAGAAGCTTGTTAATAAAGTAAAACTCTCTCTTCAGCAACCCCTGGAACTACTTTTTTAACATGCTGAGAGGTTAACTGGCCTGTTGGGTTTTTTTTAAAGCCCCTTCCCCCTCCAATTTACTGCATTTTTTGGCTGTGAGCAGTGCCTGAACTATGAGGGCTGTCTATTGCTCACACCAGCCTCTCTTTGCATTATTTAGCTCTTCAAGAGCATCTGCTGAGCATCCATCAGTGTGGGGGTTGTGCCACCACCATATGGGCAGCCAACTGCTGGTGGAGCCAGAGAGGTTCTGTTATGCTCCCATCTATTCCCATGCAACAGCACCATTAACATCTGGTGTGCCGTGGCACACACTTACTTTGTGGTGCAGTAACAGCAGATTATTCACTCCTAACTATGATGGAATTCCTTAGTGGGAGTGACGGTGCTGACTCGGAATGACATTGGAGAAACTGTGTCACTGCAACCACCCAGCTGTGGGAGCACTGATCCTGGAGGTCACATGCTGGGATTTGGTTCCTCCTGAGGGCAAAAGCAGCCCTTTGGATAGTTTGAATGGTCCTTCTAACCCTGCCTTCTCCCTCTGCCTGAGGCACAGGAAGGCAGTGACTACAGGAAAGGTTTTCTCACAGTGATCACATGTTTGCTGGTAGATGCTAGAAACGTGAAATGTAGACACATTTAAATGCCCCAAAGTGCACTAGCTGCCCCTCTGGACACAAAGGTCAATTCAGAGTAGGAGGCTCCTCTAAGCATAACTAAAGGATGTGTGAATCTGGACATGATCTGGGTTCATATCTGGCATAAGCTGACTTCTTTTTTCTTTATAGATACTTCTAGCCTGTGCTTGCAGAAAAATACTTCCCACCAGACGCTTTAGATGTGAAGGAACATGGATATACTCATCCCTTTGCTTTGCCTCTTGGTGTGACCTTGAAGTGAGTCAGAGATAGGAGAAGTGGAGGAGATGCAGAGCAGGCAGTTTGATTTCTCTCTGTAGCCATGAATTTCTCCTGAAATAAAAGGCCAGTGTAGGAACCCTATGCCCTATATTTTCATAACCCCTGATAAAGGTGATTTGTGTCCTGTTGCCCGAATTTTGCTGTAATTAAATCCTGTTGAAGAAAAACCTGGACTGCTAAATCTTCTTACTCAAAGTCTTAAGGCTGCTTATCCAGTCCAAATAAATCGGAATTAAAATTAAAAACTCCAGTGAGGTTTTCCCAAACATAAAGACAGCAACCATTGCTCTGGTGCCTGCAGGGCAGCAGCCTTGTCCATATAAATGGCAGCTAAAAATGTGAGATACCAGAGGGAGCAAACGTAGAATTCTTTGATATCTTCTGACTTCCTAATAGGTTAATTTTTAGAAGTTGTTGGCTAACTTGCATCACAGAAAGAATAGAGTGATTTACAGGTATTTTGTCACAGCCACATGTCAGAGGAGGTCTTTCTGAACAACCTCTTCTTCTCGGGCTGCCTGAGGTGTAGGACACTTTTCTGAGGATACCACTATTCTCATCTCATCTGAATGTGCTGCTGGCATCCTCACCCCTCCAGCACAGCCTGGGGACTCCCACTGAATTACTTATCAGCTGGCATTTTGACCAGGAAGTTCGCGTTTCCTCCTGAGCCTCCAATTCCTGCAGTCCTTGCCAAAATCCTGTCAGAGAGTCTGGACAAGGTCATGAGTGCAATTCCTCTGTGGCTGGCGAAACCACGCTTCTCAGCTCATTGGTAGACTCCTTAGTTGTCTTTAGGAAGGTTATCATCTCAGGGAATCGCTGCTATCAAAAAGATTATTCTTAAAAGCTGCGGAGTTACTTATTCAGTCTGTCAAGCCTCGTTACATTAGAAGACTCCATGACAGAATATCTAAGAAATTTATCTTTTTGTTCATGGAAGGAAATGATGGTCCCACTAAGGAAACTGCAAATTTAATTATACAGTAGATTTCCTCACAGACAAAATTTCCAAGGACCTCAGTATGTCAGCACTTGCTTTCAAATCTTAATCCTCAGCACTGACTTTGGTTTTTGCTTGCTAAAACCCTTCAAGTGACACTGTTCATCCAAAGCCATTCTCTGGGTCCCAGGTCTGTGCCACTAACTCACTCTGAGCTGTATTTACCTCCCAAGGAGGCCAGGGGATTCCTCATTTAATGTAAAGTTGGTAGAAGTGCGCCCTTAATTGCCGGTTTAAGTTCTTTATTAAGCATTATCTGTTCCTGTTGAGCTGAGAGACCCATGTGCTATTCCTGGAGCTGCCGCTGACTCGCTGTGTGCCTGCAGATAAGTCGCTCAGCTGCTCAGTGCCTCACCTCCCTCAGCCCGAAATAGCGGCACTTTCCCTTTGCAAGCACTTTCCATCTGTGGTGTGTGCTGGAGTCAAGGGAAAGGCTTCACAAGGTCGCTGTCATTGTTCCTGTTTTGCAGCGGAGAAACTGAGGCAGGCAAGGGCACAGACTTGCCCCAGCATGGGAGATTCGGCTCCAGCCTCATCTCTTACACCACTTCACCACTCACTGGGCTGGCTGCCTCCTCAGATTCTTCCTTAGGTACTGAATCATTGGATTTGGATTCACTGCTAAATTTCACATCTTCTTCCCCATGTCCTTTCTTTTGGTATGACTACCACTTTTGCAATACCCGAGCAGACACTTTTTGAATAGCTGAAAGAATTTCCTGACAGGTTTGAAAGAAAGCCCCTTTGGACAGCAATTGCAAAGCTTAAGCTAATGACCTCCTGGTTGCATTTGCCTGTTCCTTTGTCTCTGGAGAGGTCTAGATTTTGCTCTTGGCTCACAATCATTATTAACAGATCTTTTTCAATTTAGAAGAGAAAGATTTAGTCTCTGTATTTGTAATTCTGGCCTTTCAGAGAAAGCCAGTATAAACAGCACTGTGTCCTGGCCCAAATCCATTCTGCGTTATTAGGGTGGCATTGATTTGAGATCTCACTCCATTAAAATTTGAAGTCTAAAGCAGTTCCTGCTACAAATGGGGTCTCTCAAGGTTTATACATTAGCTTAGCCCTCAACATTGCCAGATGGTCAAAAAGTAGAATGTTTCACAAATGTTACCGGTGCCCTTCACAAAATGACACTTCCAAATTAGTCCACATTTCCATCCATTTACTGTAAGGTGCTACTTCCCATATGTAAATAAACAGTAATTCATTACTCCACCAAGAGGAAAACAGACTATGTTGAAATAGGTAAATAGGTTGCTCAGATCTTCTTTTTTAGGCAAATGAATAAGCATTTTCCTGCCTGCTATTGGGTTTTTTTTTCAAGTCACTTGCACAGTTATTATGCTGTCCCTTCCCAGTGTATCTGAAGAGAAAGACATGTAGGAAATCCCCAGTTCCTTCCCCAGTGGGATACAGAGAGGGGGTGACCTCCAGGCAGGGTAGGACCTGCCTGCCACTCCTCAACCCCAGCTCCCTCAAGATTGGGGCTCCATGAGGCTCAAATAAGCATTTAAGTGGACCTCACGTAATTTTTTGCTCTATGAAATTCAGGGTTTGAGTCACCCTAAGATTAATTTGAGCTAAGTTGACTCTGTTCTGCTTCACAGTTTATCTTAATACTTTTATGGGATTTTTGTTTCCTTCCAGTGTGTTCCCACTGGCACCATTGATACCATGATCCTTCCCAGGACTCTTCTCCAGGACAAGTGGATCCTCTATGCTGACAAAGCAACCTTAATGCTGGTATCACACTGTTGCTGTCAGATTCCCTCATTTCCACCCAAGCCACAGATCCAAAATATTGAGGAAAGCTTCAAGATTAGGGGTATGTTTGCTACCCCATATACAGCTCCTATCTGGTAAGCTCTGTGTGGATGAGATCTGGCCTTCATGCAGGCAGACATGTTGTCCAGTTCCCCAAAATTTCAGCCCTCCAAAATGTAGCGAAGCTGTAATTCTGGGTAGGTTTGTGTATACATGTGTTGTTTTGTTTCTTTTCAAAACTGCGATATGCTGTGTGGTACGTGATGAAGCAAGAAATTCCTGAGCTTTCACTGTGTCTACCTCATTGATTTTTAAGAGTCTGGGAGTTTGGAGCCTCTGGAAGCAGCTTGACACGTAATGTGAAACCTGCAAATCCTGCCAATTGCCACGGAAAGGTGAGAGAGGTGAAAAAAATCATTTTACACTGTAGGCTTTGGCTCATTTTTTGACACTGAGAAAACAACTTTTGCCAGCAAAAGCAAAACCTGCAGAGCATGGGGTGGGGAACAGAAAGCCAAATAGATAGAGTTGCACTAGCTGCAGTCCCAGGACCAATCGTGTGTGCCTCGTGTCCCCTGACCACTGCAGCGAGGGCAGCCAAATGTTCCCATGCAGACCCCAATTGCTTTTCAAACCTCAGCAAGATTTTATTTGCAGAAGAAGTCTTTGAGGCAAGAAGGTGACAAGGGCTGTCAAAGCCTGACACACACCACAAGGACAAGTGCACCTCATTTCAGCCACGGTAGCTCAGTGTGGTTTCATTCAGTACAGCATTAACCTAATATTGTCTTTAACAGCTGTGTGATGGGCTGCTTCCCTCTTTGAAATTGCTCAAGTAAGATCCAGTGTTGATTCTATAATCTTCCTGCTGACAGTGACCTTATTCTTCAACCCTTACTTTCAGCATTATCCCAGTGTCAACCTTTGACTCCTACTGATAACAAACTGGTGTCTTGCTGCAGCCCCAATGATCTTAAGGACATAGGTAGGACAGGGTGTGTAGGTAGAGATGATATCTTTCTGTAGACCAAGTGGCATAGCTGAAAAACATTAGACAAATGTTTTAGTGCACAGGTAAAAACTGCATAAATTGCACTAATGAACCAGTCTCCCTATGGAACTCAAAGCACTCTACAGAGACGAGTGAAGTCACTCAGATATTTCTGTGTGACTTGCTCACCTCACCAAAATGCATGGAAATTTCTGTCTCCTACTTCACCAGGACCAAATTTCAGCAGCTGTTCAGTAAAGCTTCATTTCCTATCTCACTGCAATGCCAGGCAGAGAGGAGCAAGATAGAATCTCATTCGTGCAGGGTGACTCTTCTGATAGTATGTGAGGAAGGGAAAGGAATACCAGTTCCAAGGGAGTTTATCTTATTGCATCTAAGATGAAAAATGGAAGACAAGAAGGGTAGAGGGAACTAAAAATCAAGACCAAACACAAAAAAAAAATCTAAGAGCAAAGTATGGTCCTTTCACAGAAATTATGACAAGCTTCCTGTGTTTGTACAAGAAATGGTATCTGTGTTCCCTGTGTATGTCTCCATTCCATATCTTATTTGGAATGTTCTTCCATGTATCTGCTTTTAACAGCTCAAGATCTTTAGAGCAGGGTGTGCAAGGAGTCATGCTGATACTTTGAGTCCATTTCAGTGGCATCTCACCCTGTAAGGGGTCCACAGAAGCCAAATGACTGTGGAGGATTTAAACACTACTATAAGAATAAACAATTGTAAGCAATAATATTATTTCTAAGCACAAAGTAATGCTAAGCATCCTTTAACGCTGTCAGACTCAGCTAGGACTCCTAGATCTGTGTATGCCATGGAAGTGAAAACATCCTTGTTCAAGAGCTTTGAGAAAACCCCACTAGAAAATACCACAGTTGCACACATGGCAGGCGTAGCCTAACTCAAAATCCACTGAACTGATCGTTCTTGAGACATCTTTTGTTTTTCCTTCCTCAAGAAGGGCAATAAATCAAGCTAAGTTAAAAATTTTATAGCTACAGCTGGTTTTGACTTATGCAAATGCAACATTTCAATCACAGCATATGGGAAAAGCATATTTTTTTTCCCTTCCCTCACATAACTCAAAAGCTGATATCCTGATTTCTCTGAAGCTCTTCAGAAATTATTATCTTTGGGTGGAAGCTACATGGCAGGAGGTACAACCCAGCAGGAATTTGTTCAATTGAAAGGCCACTGAGCAAATGAAGAAGATGAAATTGGAGATTTTTAAGTACTATTTGTTTGCTGACAAGAACCGTAACCAGTAAATATTTATAGGATACCTCAATTTCAAAATTATGATAATTTATTACCTGGGCTTCTCTCTAACAGAGCATGCCTGAACAAGTTGCAGTAGATCAGTTAGAGCTTCATTATTTCTCCAGCTCCTCAGTTGCTCATTGTGCTTAAAACCGCTTTGTGATGGGATTTCTTTGTTGTGGACACAGTTCAGAACAACATGAATTGAATTGCTTCCTGATGGAAGTGAGTTGTCATTATCTTCTCCTTTCCTTTTGGAGCCTCAGCACATCAGAGCATCTGGGAGCACCAGTCTCCAGTGAGGACTGAGCGTGTCCTACCTGCTGCTGCAGGCTGGGCAGTTGTAGATCCAAAGCTCACTTATAACTCCACAGCTTTTTTTTTGTCTCCTCTCTCTTATTATTTAATTATTCCAAAGTTGTTCTGGAGGAACAAACCCTGCAGCACTGAAGCTCATGCAATTACAGGCAGACTAATCCTGAATAAACTTGTGCAAAAACCTTATTTCTGAGAACCTCCTCCACAAGCGAAGCACTGCATGCAGCTCTGATTCTCTCCTCCTACTCCTGCAGGGATGAGGGGGCCAGAGGTAGCTGACTGGGAGGGGATGGGCACCGTCTGTCCCTGCGTGGAGAGTCTGAACTCCATCCGGCCAGACAGCAGAGCTGCTGCCGCTGCAGTTCCTCCCCACAGCACTGCTCTCTTGGCTGCTCGCTGTACGAGGGGAAAACCGACAGGATAAGCCTGTTTCTGTAATTATAATGGTGTGCTTTATCATTCCTTTGCAATCCAACATAAATCCCCCATGTGCTGTGCCAGAGAAAGTGGCCTGTGCTGAGAAAGCCTCCTGGCCACAATCGGAGGGCCGGTGTTTACGCTACAAGCGGCAGCGAAGGCAGCTGGAGGGGAGAGTGCAGTGAGAGGAGGGCAGGAGGTCACTACACATCGGACACGTTCAGGGATTAAGTAGATTATGGACAACACAGGGAAAACCAATGCCCATTCTGCTCCTCCAGCTGCTTGTCTCAGGACATTAGCAAATGGTCCGGGTTTCACCAACCTCACCTTGTGGGCAGCTCTGGACGAGTGAGGCTGAGACTGGGAAGAAGGATTTATGTCTTTGGTTCTTACTGTTCAACTCTATTTTGACTGGCAATAAACTACTTTCATTCTCTCCGTCAAATCTGTTTTTCCCATGACAGTAATTGGTAAGAGATCTCCCTTCTTTTTCTCAACCTACAAGCTTTTCCATCTTATTTTCTCCCCTGTCCTGTCAAGGAGGAGGATGAAAGAGCAGCTGGCAGCCAGCAATCGTCAGCCCACCACCCTGCTCTCCCACTGTCTCTTGGGAGAGTCCAGCTGGACTCCATGCCCAGCCAGAGGACTAACAGTTTGTGTTGGGCCCTATGGTTTTGAACTCAAAGCATGTGCTTACAAGGCTGTTGGTACAGGTTAGAGGAGAAATTGCACCTCAGATTTCTTCCACACATCTAATGAAGTGTAACACACAACCAAACTCTGGGACTCCTTCCCTGAGGCTGCCGTTTGTAAACAGCTTCAAATGGAATTTAAACACATGCATAAAGGGTACAGGTATCACTGCCCAGGAACTGTTGTAGTCTGAATGCAATTGCTGGCCCAGAAAATGCTAAAACACAGGGAGGAGAAGTTAGGAGCACTGTCTAGAAGGGGGATAGCACATGAGGGAAACTGCTCAGAACCATCCTGCCCTTGCAGCCTGCCTTCTGCATCACATATTGGCCCCTGCTAGCAGCAGGCTACTGAGCTAGACAGACCTTTGATCCTGCAATTTTATAGCTGATCTTGCAGTCTGGTATTGAACAGGAAGGTTTCCTGTGGCTTTTTGTACATCCCTCCACTTGAAGCAACAGAGTTCAGTCATGAGTTTTGGGAGTTTTCTTATTTCTCATCCATAATAATGCAAGAGTCCCATTTGGGACCTTGAATTCAAAAATAATATCTTCATTAAAAAAAAAAAAGGCTTTCACTGTTGTACAGGTATGTGTGTGCCAGCTTTCACCAGCTCCCAACTTGTGCCTGCCTGTGATGCACTGCTCTGTGTCTGCAGGCAGCTGCACACTCATGCCCAAAGTGCTGCCACCATGAGAGTACCTGCTCCTCCACCACACACCTGCTCCAGCACAAGCTCCTGTGCTGCTGTCAGCAGGAACCCCATCTGGCTGCTTATTCCCAGCTCCAGGACCCTTCTTTTCTTCTCTTCTCAGCTTTAGAAATTATCATGGTTGGGACCACGATAATCATTCTGTCCAACAATTATTTAACTAAGCCAGTGTTAAATTGCCCCTTACAGGTGACTCTCATAACACATCCATGTTTCCCTGTTTGCCACAGACCTGAGGAATTAGCAACTTGCAAAGGAGCTGATCTGAAAGACCAGCTGATGGTCAGATGGAGCAAACAGTCTGTGTTTCAGGGGGAGTGGCAGCTTGAAGATCCTCTTCCCCAGCACACACCCCACTGGTGCTGAAGTACTGCTGCCAGAGCCCAAGCCCAGTCACTGTATGTCTGGTTGCAACTTGCTGCTCCAGGGTGTAGAAAAAAACTCCCCACCATTTTACCTTTCTGGTTTTCCCTCTTTCTTTGCCCACTGCTAAGAGAGGGCAGAATTTCCCCCACAATAGTAATGTCTAGCTTTTCACGTAAGAGAACAGCTGTATTTACTTGACTTACAAGTATCTTTACTGACAGATTTATCTTTTGCATCATAAAATGCCTATTTGGGCTTTAAAAAGTGCACTGACTGCTTCGTTGAAGCTTGCAGCAATAGAACCATTCTCATTTGAAAGACAAATTATTACCCCCAAAATTAAACATATTATTTTATACATCCCAGCCACCCTGATTCTTTGTGCCTAAGGGCCTCTGAGAATAAGGTATCATTTGGAGTACATGGCAGAGAAAACTTGGTTGTGTAGATACTTCTTTTCCAGAAGAGCCATATCCGCATCTCTGGCTGGGAATGCTGCTGGGTTTTTCCTATCTGATGGCTAAGTTGTATCTGTGTATATGGTAGTGTTATTTTTGGCAGCCAGTTGCATTAACTAGCCCCTCATGTTTCGGCTTTTGCCACAAGCCAGGCCC